AGCCGGGGAAGGCCTCGCCGGGGAAGGCCTCGCGCCGGAACTCCTCGGGGTAGGCCTCGGGGTAGGCCGCCGCCCCGGCCTCCTCCTCCCCGCAGGCGCTGTCGGTGGAATTCTGGGTCTGCAGGAAGCTCATGTCGCTGGCGACCGCGTCCAAAGTCTACATTTGGGTTCAGTATTGCTGTCATCGGGGCAGAAGAGGGCCGAGTCGCTGCAGTAGGCATCCTCCTTGTAGGGGGGCAGCAGGCTCGACTTGGGCATCCCCTCGCGGAAGCCCAGGTCTCGGGTGGAGGCATCCGACACCGAGACCGACATGGACAGGGGGGAGGACAGGCTGCTGGGCTCCGGCTTCTCTGGCACCTTGGCAATGACGCAGAGCGGCACGCTGCCCGGGCGGCAGTGCGTGGAGGGCATGCTGCAGCCATGCTTCTCCAGGTGCAGGCTCAAGCGCTCCTGGAATTCCGCGGGCAGCTGGAAGGGGGAGGGGGGCGGGGGGCCAGGGGGCAAGTCAGCCTTGGACCCACACACAGGCAGAAGATCCCGGAGGGACCTGCCCCCCAGGCCCTCGCCTGGCACCAGCTGGAGCCGGGCCCGGGAAGCTCCTGGATTCGCCTGAGTTCCCCTGGGCACCTGCCCCCCAGCCGGCTCGACTGGGCCCCCGTGGAGCCCCGGACACTGGAACCAGGGTCTCAGGGTCTCACTAGGCCCCTCTCTGGGTGACAGTTCCCTCCCCCACATTTCCTCCCACTGCGGGGCTGACTTGCTTCTCCCTGTTGCGTCCAGTGCTGCGGAACCAGACAGACCCAGAATCACATGCAGCGAAGACTGAGGGCCAGGCCCAGGCGCCCAGAGGTGGTGGCACAGCGCCTGGTGCCTGTGGGGACGTCCACTACTGTTTGATCTGTTTTGTGAGTGTCTCCGGTGTGGCCCAGGCCCGGGGAGAGGGGACAAGGACAGGCCTGGGTGAAGGGGAGGGGCAGCTGGCCAGAGTGTTGGGCCCTGGTCCAGCCTGGATTTGGCATCAGAGAGCCCTGTGGCCTTGGCTGCGTCACTTCCGTGTGCAGCCGGTTCTCTTGTCTCTGAAATGGGCACTACCAGTTATTGTGCCCAGACCAACCACAGGGTTTCTGTGAGGCTCACAGAGGCCGCTCGGTGATGGGGGCTTGGCACAGGGCGAGGACCCCGAGGGGGGATGTGCAGGCTGTCCAGGCTGGTGAGGAGGGGTGTTGGGGGTGGCCTCGGGTAGGATCTGCACTGAGGAGCCCCGAGTGGCCCCGGGGGGGAGGGGGACCTAGCAGGGCAGGGCTCACATTACCTCGGACACCTTATGGACCCTGCCGTAGGTCTGGCTGCACTGCAGCAGCTGGGCCGCTAGATTGCAGTCCTTCCTATAGAGCTCCTACAAGACAAGAGAAGGCGTCGGCCCAGGCTGCCCCGCCAGGCCCTGCTGCCCGGACCAGAAAGCAGTGGGCGGAGCCGATGTGCAGTTCACAGGACAAGGACCCTCCCTGGGCCTCTCGACGTTGCCTGCAGAATGGGGGCTCAGCTCTGACCTGGAGCTGCTGGTGCATGGAGGGGTGCTGCCCCAGGTGGGAGCCTCACCAGGTGGGGGCAGCGGGAGAAGGGCCCCCATGGCCCCGGACCTCTGGGAGGCCCAGGTATGAGTCCCAGCAGAGAACTCGGTGAAGGGGCAGCAGTGCTGCTGGGGTCCAACCCCAGCAGGTCCAGGGGTCCCCAAAGGTGTAGAGGGAGTCGCGAGGCCAGGCTCAAGCCTGCAGCCCTGCTACCTCTGTCTGACTCCCCGCTCACACCCTGCTCTGAGTGTGGCCTGGCAGGGGGTGGCTGCAGGGCTGGGCACAGGGGCTGTGTGGGACCCGCTCAGCCTCCTGAGCTGAAAACAGATGCAAACAGTAGGAATCGGGGGTTTGGTTGTGTCTTTGGGAATCTCTGTTGCGTGTGCCTGTGGCTGGCCTTTTATTCCCACCCTTATCCAGGGACCACCCACAGTGAGGGCCCGGCACTGAGGAGCCTGGGGTCCACTGACGGGCCACTGTCATCAGGACTGGGTGCCTGCAGCTCAGGCAATCTGTTGAAGGCAGGGTCACCGCTGCTGCCCCCCTCCCTGCCCCTCACCGCCCCCTGCTGTGCTGAGGCTGGTGCCCCAACTCGGCTGCACAGTGGAGGGAACCGGGGTCTCCAGCCTTCTCAAGGCTGAAGGGCCTCCTGGGAAGGTCACCGTTGGCTGAGAGCTGAGAACTGGCCCCACTGTGAGGCCCCGGACAGGCTGCCCCTGGCATCAGAGGGCCGTGGGCACCGCCTGGCCTTTAGCAGACTCGAAAAGCACCCTGTCCTGGGCCCGCCCTCTTCTCATCTGGTGCGCTCCTCGGGTTCCTCTGCAGTCCGCCGTGCAAACACCACAGGAGGCTGACC